ACCAAGAGTCGGACACTCAACTGACTGAGCCACCCGGGCACCCCAGCATTTTATTAAAAAATATATATCTTGGGGCGCCTGGGTGGCGCAGTCGGTTAAGCGTCCGACTTCAGCCAGGTCACGATCTCGCGGTCCGTGAGTTCGAGCCCCGCGTCGGGCTCTGGGCTGATGGCTCGGAGCCTGGAGCCTGTTTCCGATTCTGTGTCTCCCTCTCTCGCTGCCCCACCCCCGTTCATGCTCTGTCTCTCTCTGTCCCAAAAATTAAAAAAAACGTTGAAAAAAATTTAAAAAAATATATATATATCTTTATGTATTTATATACCTAGAAAAATATATGGATGGGTGTAACCCAAAATGTTAAGAGTGCCTATTTCGGGGTGGTGGGCTTAGAGGTGGTCTTCTGCTTCACACCCATTTATATCTTTTATATTGTCTGTGTTATAATGGTCATGTAATATTTTACCGTTTTTTGAATGATTCAGGAAATGGACAAGAAAAAAGATTTCAAAAATGTTCTGGTCAGCCTTATCTTAGCATGAGAAATCTTGACATATTAACTTGGTAATATAGCACAGTCTATGTAGTACTCAGAAAAAAAAAAAAGACGATTTTCACTTTTTTGAGGTAGAATAAGACAAAAACTTTCATGTTTTTAAAAAATGTTACAATACTTGGGAACCATTTAGGGGAATGTGACCCTGGGAAGTTGGTCCTCCACCAGCCCCTGAGCTGGAAGGCACCAAAGTGCTTTCTGTGCAGGTACTCCTCTGGGGTCACCTGGCTGTGGTGACACAACCCAGAGTCTGAGTGCCTACAAGTAGCTCTAGGCTGACCACCTTATGCACAAGAGGAAAGAGATTCCTTTCTTGTCAGTTCCAGGTAGAGAAAAATAAAATCCCTGGGCTTGGCTTGGGTCCCATGCTGATCCCTGAATCAATCGTATGACCAGGAGAATGCAATGTGTCGTAGACAACTTTGTTCTTCAAACCCCAGGACTCCTTTCTCTCTCTCCTTTGGTAACAGTAATCACATTTCCTTTGGAGGTCCATTCCGTCCTCATCCCCTGGGGTTCTACTGAGGTTGTCAATCTCTACACTCAACTCTAGGTCTCAGAGACAAGCACTTGAACTAATACTGGCCAACCCATGAAAAACCGTCTTCCTGGCCACAGGGCCTGGGGACTCAAATGAAACAGGACCAGTTGGTCCTTCTGCAAGATCCTGTCTAGGGACGCCTGCATGGCTCAGTCAGTTGAGCCTCTGACTTCTGCTCAGGTCATGATCTCATGGTTTGTGAGTTCAAGGTCTGCATTGAGGGGCTCTTAGCTGTCACCACAGAGCCTGCTTCAGATTCTCTGTCCCCCACCTCTCTCTCTGCACCTCCCCTGCTCATGGTCTCTCTCTCTCTCTCTCTCTCTCAATACAAAAATAAATAAACATTTTAAAAAAGATCCTGTCTAGACATTGAAAGAAGATATCCAAGGGCATTTCCCTCCTCACCTCCATCCCCTGACACATGGAGAAAGATGCCCTGCAGTGGGAGAGAATATGCTCACTACACAGAGGCAGAGATGAGCTATGGCAGAAGTAGGCTCACCCTCATTTGAATCCCCGTACCTGGTTGTGATCAGCCAATAGCATTCCCCTCCCTAGACTTCCCAGTTATGCAAATGATGAAGTCCCTCATAGTTTGAGTTGGGTTTCTCCCATTAACCGATTAAGGGGCCTGGGCTTGGTGAGATCTGAACCATGTGCCCATGTCTATGGTCAAAGAAATAGGTCATGGAGATTGGCACACCCCAATAAAACCACAGGGTTGGAGTGGAGGAGAGTTCCCCAGAGGAGGGGCTACTGAGCAGGGTCAGAGCAAACAATAATAGCAAATGAGTATTGAAACATCATTTATGGGGGCACCTGGGTGGCTCAGTCAGTAAGGCATCCAACTCTTGATTTCAGCTCTGATCACGACCTCACGGTTGATGAGTTCGAGCCCTGTATCAGGCTCTGTGCTGATGGCGAGGAGCCTGCTTGGAATTCTCTCTCTCCCTCTCTCTTTGCTCCTTCCTCTTTCTCTCATTTCTCAAAAATAAATAAATGAACTTTAAAAAAAGAGACATCATTTATCAAATCATGGGGGTTTATCTAATTCTATTACTATATTACAAACAGTTGCCAAAAAATAAAAAGTATGTAGAAAAGTTAGTGAATAAAGTTTCATATGTTAAACTCTGTATCTTACAAAGAATAGCCCTATTTCTAAAGGCCCGTGAAATATTTATAAAAATAATATATATTCAGGTACAATGAAAATCTCAGTAAAATCCAAATCCCAGATAGAAGTTGTATCCTTGGATCACAATGCAATAAAATTAAAAATCCATAAACAAAGTTCATATGAGGGGCACCTGGGTGGCTCAGTCAGTTAAGCATTGGACTTTGGCTCAGGTCATGATTTCACTGGTCATGAGTTCGAGCCCCGCATCGGGCTCTGTGCTGACAGCTCAGAGCCTGGAGCCTGCTTCAGATTCTGTGTCTCCCTCTCTCTCTGCCCCTCTCTTGCTCGAGCTCTGCTCTGTCTCCCTCAAAAATAAATAAAACATTAAAAAATTAAAAAAAAAACCTTTATGGTAGAACATATATTGAACAAATATATATACATCTGATACATAAAAATATATTTTAATATACAACAAATCAAGTGAAACTTTTTAAATGAAGAAAGAAATAATTATCACTACATCCATATGGGAAATGGAGGGTAATAATGGCACATGAATAGCAAATCCTTACTCATACTATTTACCACAGAACATTCCAGACAGGTTAAGGTTAGATATTCACATGCATACATACACACAACGATTTAAAAAAAAAAAAAAAAACCCACAACGGAAGAATAGAAAAGAATAGGCTCACTCAGTCTACTGAGACATGGGGGTCAGGACAAAGTGTGGGTTTCAGAGCAGACAGACCTCTGAGTTTCAGTCCCACCTGAGGTGCTTACTCAAATACTTAATTCTATGAGCTCAGTTTGTTATCTGCTTTCCTACCTGATGTAGGTAAAAATTCACAGGAATCAAAGCCACTTCGTGGTGCCCACTTTTAGCTTCTGCAGTGGATTTTTCTAGGCTGGGTGCAGGGGGTGCACTCTGGCACCTTCCCAACAGATGGCCCCTGGGGAGAAAGATCTGAGTGAAGGAACCGCCCAAGCATGTAATTAATGAAAAGTATAAGAGGCTATAAGAACAAAATACATTTTTTAGATATTTTTTTGAGTTTATTTATTTTTGAGAGAGAGAGACAGAGAGAGAGTGCACGAGTGTGTGCACAAGCAGGGGAGGGGCAGAGAGAGAGGGAGACGCAGAATCCGAAGCAGCCTCCAGGCTCTGTCAGCACAGAGCCCGACGTGGGGCTCCAACCCATGAACTGTGAGATCATGACCTGAGCCAAAGTTGGACACTCAACCAACTGAGCCATGAAGGTGGCCCTAAAATACATTTTTTCTAATTTGTAAACATCTGTATGTAACCATAAAGAAAAGCAATGGAGTGAAAGAACATTTCAGGGTATAGAGGAAAAATAATAAGCATATAAGCATATTTAACGGATTGATAACAATATTTTTGAAATCGCTGAGAAATGAGAGGAAGACAACTTAAGGCAACTCTGAGAGTCTTGGGCAAATACAAACAGAGCTGCAGCATTAGCAGGAGAGCTGGAAAAGAATTCACCAACTATGTACCACTGGCCCAGAGCTAGCATGAAGCTACCAAAGCACAGGACACTCACACCATCCAATCTTCCAACTAGCAATTCCTCTGATGAGAGGAAAAAAAGAAGAGGGGAAGGGAGGAAGGAAGAGAGAGAAGGCAGGGTAGAGGCAGAAGGAAGGGAGGGAGGGAAGAGAAAAACTCCATTTGCGTGGAGGTGTTTTTACCTGTATAATTTGCATACACATCACACATAATTTGCATACACATCAGCCCAAATCGTGACTGTGAACGATTACATCGCAGACTATACAGCTCCATGGAAAAGGTTATACAAAATACTGTTGCATGAAAAAGTTGATCACAAGATATTATATACTCTTGGATTCCAACAAGGCTCAGATTTCCCCAGGAGGATCTGAAACCTGAAGAAAGCAACAGGCAGATCGTGTTATATTGGTGGAGGTATTTAAACACTTTGCTGTTGGTTTGACATTTCTGTTGACCTTGCACTGTAACATTGGGTAAATATACTATACACACTCACACACACACAAATGGATTTATTTTTTTAATGTTTTTATTTATTTTTGAGAGAGACAGAGAGAGACAGAGCATGAGCAGAGGAGGGACAGAGAGAGAGGGAGACACAGAATCCGAGGCAGGCTCCAGGCTCCGAGCTGTCAGCACAGAGCCCGACGCGGGGCTCGAACTCACAGACTGCGAGATCATGACCTGAGCTGAAGTCGGACACCCAAGCGACTGAGCCACCCAGGCGCCCCCCAAAAATGGATTTAAAAGAGAACGTTTATCACTCCACCCAAATGAAGCTTGACTCTGCCCATGCCATCTTGAGGCTACATTCCTAGGCCTCAGCCTGAGGTTTCCAAGCAAGTGAGAGCATGTGTGCGGAGGGCAGAGGCTGGCAGGGCCAGCAGCCGGGGCTCCTCTGTGGGACACAGCTGCCCGCAGGGTCCTGGCCTGGCGAGGCCTGGGGAGCGTCTTATCGCATGAGCTCATGTGAAAGCCCCACGCCTCCGGGTCTCCAGCGAACATTTGCCATTCCTTTCCTGTCACCACCCCGCTCCGTGCTTGTGCCCATGAGCTCATCGTTGCTGGGCAAGTCCTCCCTGGGTCAGATAACTGCCAGGGGCAATTCCTTTCCCAGCCTCCTGCCCCTGCCCTGTGCCTCCAACAGACGGAGCGGGCCCTGACTCCCACTCTGTGGTTCCACACAGAACAGAGAATTGTGTGAGGTCAGCAGAAGTCTGGGGGGGCTTGACAGAGCTCTCCCACCCCAGCCCGGCCCCTGTCCTAGCCTCGCCTAGGAGTCTGGGAACTGCTCAGCCAGTGTGACCAGACAGACCCCACCTGGACGCCAGGCCCTGCCCATGTCTGAGCCACCGTCTTGTTTCTGTCTCAGTCCCAGACTCAGCAGCAACCTCGGGCCCAGGCACTGCCTCCCAGGTGGGTGTCAGCCAGAGGAAAGGCTGGGGGAGGGGAGTCCCAAAGCTGTGAGGATCCCCACCCAGAAACGGAGGCTCTGTCTGTCCTGCTGGTATGAGGGAAGGTTTCTCAGGTGAGAGCTGGTTCATACGCTCGGTCTCATACACGAGGGACCCCTGTGTACCAAGCCTCCTGCTGCTAAGAATACAAGGTGAGGCTTAGTCGTCTTTCTCTCAGGGACAACTGAAAAGAGAATGACCACCCCTTTTCCTGTGAGTGTCACCCCTTCACTTTCAGAAGCTCGTCCCAGCCAGCTGCGGCCTCAGACCACCTAATTCATGCTGTCCCCTCATCTCCCGCGGACAGGTCTGGTTCCCCGATGCTAGAAGACCTCAGAACCGCACTGTTCCCAACCAGTCTGGCCCCATCCTTTCCAGACCTCCCAGAAACTGAAGAAGGAAAGAATGGGAGGAGGGGACCGTGTGGTCCCAGAGAAATGGCTGCTGACAGATGGGACAAAGGCCCTAGAACTCCGAACACCCCCCCCCCACACACACACACCCAGAAAATGGCCACGAGTGGCAGAGGAGCTGTGTCTGTTTCTCTGCCAAGCCGCACACCACATTCCCACGGGAGCCACTCGGCACAGGGTGGAGACAGCTGTTCCCCTCAGCAGATGTTCTCGCGGGAGGCAGGGGAGCTCACTCCTAAGCCGGATCCTCATGACTCACCCCGTAGGCCTAAGCGGCCTGCTGAGCCTGCCGTGTGACGAAGGCAGATCAGACAGCCAGTGGGGGGCCCCCCCGTAGCCTTCCGAAAAATGAAGCTGCTATAGTAGCTTTGCCGGCACCTTCCTGCTGCGAGGGCAGAGGCTATCTCTGTCCCTGCTGTCCCCCTAAGGCCGAGCACAATGCTGGCCTTGAATTCCTGTGCATTTATTAAGCACCTGCCTTGTGGCTGGCAGTATGCAAGGAACTGAGACTATTGAGGTAGACACAGGAGCTCCTCACAAAACTGACAGATGGTGGCATTAAGGTTATGACGGTGGCATGCACAAGGGTCTATGGGACTCAGGCTGGGCCCCAGTTGACTGTGCTGAACCAGAGGAGAAGTCTATGGGGCCCGTCAGGCCCAGGGAGAGCCCTGGCCCTCAGAAGGTTCATCACACCAGAAGATTCCCAGGCCCATCCCCCGTCGTTTCAGATCCTACCAGGTCCTTCTGCCAGAAACAAGCCTGTCCTGGAGGCTCTCCCACCTCAGCAAGGCTCAGAAACCTTTCCTGACTGTCACACACCCTTCTCCCCTTCTCCGTGAGGCTCACCTCCTGGAAGGTTCTCGCTGAGCAGTCCCAGCCACGCCACCCTATTCTGCAGTCCACACTACGTGAAAACTCAAGGAGACAAAGAGAAGGTGGCATGGCCAAGATCCAGGGAGGGTCTAGCACCAAGGAGGGTATGAGGCCAGGATGTCCAGACCATGACGCCCAATCCCTCTGAGTCCAAGTTCCCTCAGGGGGTAATAGGAAGGGGCAGGATCCCACTGTCTGGGCTGCCAGATCCGAGCACTGTTCTCTGAAGCCAGGCACCCTGTCTCCCAACCCCTCTACCTCCATTCCTGGCCCAGCTACCTCCCAGCTTTCTGGATTTTCTCATAGCACATCACTCACCACGCTGTGTTTCTCTTAGTTGCGTGAAACCTATTCTGCCTGAGAAACTCATTTGGATTTAATGGGGTAAGAAGGTGTTGAAGTTAGAAATATTTGCTTAGTTTAGCAATATGTATAAGCACATGTCACCTTCATTTTACTGAAGTGAAGCCTCCTCACCAGGCTGTGAGCTAGATCAGGCACTAATTTCTACAGAGTCAATGTAATATTTTTAATCATCCCCTCCAATAATTTACAACATGATTTTTCGAGACAACATGGCCAGCACAGTTAGTCTGGACCCAGTCATTGAACATGGTCCTGATGATTTGCTTTGTTATTTCCTTAGGGGAACCATTCAGTCCCTCCACACAGTTTTCTTCTCCAAATATTGTCCCCTTTGTCCTTCTATCCATCTCTGAAAGTGCATGAGGAAGACCCGACGCCCCCAGATGTCCTCATCCTCACATCAGGGACGTCTGGGGGAGCAGTGGGGTTCTGGCAGACTGCTTATTCCGGGAATGAAAGTTTGGAGGTCCAGCAGTGGGCACCAAGGGTGTGGGTTGTCCTGGGGATCAATCAGGGTGCTTTCTTGCAAGTGACAGAAACGGACCGGCTGAGTAAAGAAGAGGGATTTATTAAAGAGCATTGGGAGGTCTGAGAAGGCTGGGAAACAGCTGATCCAGGACCAGTCAAGCTGCAGTGGGTCTGCTGAGGCCTTCCGAGATATTCCTGGCCACCAACACTTATGATAACACTGGGTCAATAGCAACCCTGACACAGGACGGTGGATTCTATCGCTACCACCCACCATGCCCTCTTGGATGTGACTAAGAGCATTCCGCATGGCACGGACTTCTCTGAGACCATGGCTCCCGATTTAAAACCCAGGGGGTCCAAGTCACAAACCCCTGCTCATCTGCAGGTCAGGCAAGCAAGCATTTGGCAATTCAGCTTCTCCCAGGGGGCTGAGAAGCCAGGCAGCAAAAAATCACTGATATGCGTCCAGTACAACGAGACTGCCTCCCCTCCTTACCAACTCCCTGCAGCCCAAGATCCTGAATCATCTGTTTGATTAGAAGTTCTGAACCCTATTGAACTCTACACTAGAGCCTCCCCTCTTACGTTATTTCACCCATGAGGCAAAGCCACCCTCATCTGGAAAGGAAGGAACCTTCTTCTTGCCCATCCCGCGCTGAGACGGAGGGACCGTACCGAGCAATCCAGGAACAAAGGTTTGTTGTGTTCTGCTGCACATTGGGCCCAGAAACAATTCACACAGGCACAAGGGTGGTTTCCAAACAATATATGGGCTTTAGGTTTTTTTATTATTATTTTTAATGTTTCTTTGTTTTTGAGAGAGAGAGAGTGTGTGTGAGCTGGGGAGGGACAGAGAGAGAGAGAGAGAGAGAGAGAGACGCAGAATCCGAAGCGGGCTCCAGGCTCCCAGCTGTCAGCACAGAGCCTGACATGGGGCTTGAACTCACCAACTGGGAGATCATGACCTGAGCTGAAGTTGGGCACTTAACCGACTGAGCCTCCCAGGCACTCTGGGCTTCAGGCTTTTTTAGGGTGGCAGGGCTTGGGCTTAAAAGTATTTTCCAACCCCTGGGGAGCCCAGATTGCAAGAAGTGTGTTCCCTCCAACCCCTCATTAGCATCTGGCTTTGTCGTGTGTCTCTGGCTAGTGTTTCTGGCCATTTGCATTTTAGATACTGCTCACCAGAAAGTGGTTGATGATCACACACTCCTGGGACAGAAATCCACAGAGGACTTTCAGGCTTGGGAAACCCAAAGGTGGGGCTCCCTCAGCCGACTGGTGGCCCTGAATCCTGATAGACCAATCCTATAATCCCTTCCGTGAAGGGGCCAAGAGTCTTCTATAAGACCCTTGGGGCCCCTTCTACCCACATGGGAAAGCCCCCTTCCTTGAAGACTGTGGACTCCAACAAATCTGAAACACAATCTCCAAGACCAGACAGTAGAAGGCCTCCTCCAGGTACACTCCAAGAAGGCGAGCTCACTGTAGGGACCTCTATAGCAGCAAGAAGCTCTGCCTCTTTGGAAAACTCCATATGATCAACATTTGACCAGAGCCCAGCCAGGGCAAGCCAATCTCCAGGACACAGACCTTGGCAGCAGACCTGTCCCTTCTGGAAACATCTGGCGCTCGCTCCATACCGAGGTCAGGATGCTGAACCATCTTCGGTTCAGAGAGCCCCTCGCCTTCATCTCCCTCCTCACTTTCTCAGCGTTTAGGCCTCGGCCTCTACTCCCTTGCCTGCTTGTTAAAAGCCACGTGGGGAGCAGTTGTCCCCCCCCCCACCCCCCGCCTCCGAGGAACTGAGCCTATCTATTGAGGCTATCTGTCAACCCTATCTGTCTTTTATTTTTGAAAAGGGAAAAAAAAAAGGAGGGATAAACTCTGACGTCATGAGCTTGCGTGGGACAGTGGGCTTGGAGGCCATCTGGAGCAGGTGCTGGCAGGGCCCCTGGGAAAGAAGAAGAAGGGCAGCTGGCTCATCAGGTGGGGGTGTCCTGGGGTCAAAGACCTCATGGCACCATTAGGTTAAGCTTTCCTGGAATTTCTGGCCCAGGAAGGATAGATGAGTCTTCCTTGGCCTCCAGCTCCTCTCTTAAAGCCAAGTCCTGTAGGTGCAGGACTCCTGGAGGAGGCACCAAGCGCCAGAAGACCTGGCCAAGCTCTGACCTCTGTGTCTTCTGTGGGTCTCCCCATCAATCGGTTCTGAGGAATCTCAGGGGCACGGTGTCCTCCCCCTCCTCCCCAGGAGTGCGAGTGACATTCAGATGCTTCTTCTGCCCCAGCTGCTCTTCCTGCCTTTGTCCAGGGGTTGGAAGCCTCTTGTCAGGCGTCCTGGTTCACTCTGCCCCCGTCCAGGAGGCAAGGACAGCTTTTTCGCAATTACAGGTGGTGAAACTGAAGGCCCAGAGCAGTGATGGGACTTGGCCCGGGTCCCGCTGAAATTTCCCTGCCCGGCCTCCATAAGATCTGCTCACCGCCTGTTCAGTGTCCTCTCTGGGAAGTTATGCAGCTGGAAGGGGGCCCCTGGGATGAAATAATTGCAGAGAAAACAGATGGGCTGCTGAGGATTCCTCCCTTCCTCTGTGTGCCTGAGAATCCTCCCGCTTTGCCCCAGGGCCAGGAGGGGGCGCTGTTCCACATGGAGCTAGTTCCCACCCCCTGGGCAGTCTGGTCTCAATCACTCCTTCCCCAGCCTCAGGTAAGCCCTTATGCACACCTTTCTCACCGGAGGAATACTCAAGGCCCCTTTCATGTTCCATAGGGTCCTGCTAGCAGAGTGGACACCGACTGTTCCCAGGAAGGGCGCCTTCTGTGCAAGACATTCGCCTTGCCTTCGTGAAGGAGAAAAAGGGGAAAGGGGCCCACAGGAATGGAGCCTTTTCTCTCCCTGTCCCCGCCTTTCTTTCAGAGGTCCGGAAGGGAGGAGAGGGTGCCAGTCTTGTGACTCTCTGATGCCTGGGGTTTGGCACACTTCAAGCTGGCTCTGACTTTCCCCAATCCCTGCTCCCTCTCCGTGCCTCCCCACAACTGACCACTGTCCCTCAGTCCTAACCTTCAAGCTTGCTTTCTGTCTTCACCCTCAAGAATACAGTAGGCTCCCACTCTTGCCAGACAAGGCCCTCCCTTGGCTGACTTGCCTCTCTCCCAAGCCTGCGTCTTCTGGATACCCTTACCTGAAGCCCCCACCCCACCCCCAGTCTGGGCACACAGGGCCCTGCAATGTCACAGGCTGCCCCCCTGCTTCCCTCAGTTTCCCTTTGGCGAGGTCACTCATCTTCTTTTACTGCAGCCCTCTAAGTCTGGGTGCACTACATGGTTAGCCCAAAGGGCTGCCCTCCAACTAGATTTCCCTCCTTATCCCATCTGTCCTCCTGCCTTCTGGGTCTCCCTCCCCCCCCCACCCCCCACCCCCACCGCCTCCCGCCTCCACCCTACCACCAGCTCTGCACAGACTTTTCCTCTCCAGGAAGCCCACCCAGCTAGCCCAAGCTGGGGGAGCTGCCCTCCGTCCCCACCGTTGTCCTTTTCAGCCTACAAACCTAGTGTCTGTTTCCTGGATTCCTTCCCTGCAGGGATGCAAACCCACAGGCTTCCTGGGTGCTCCACGGACACTTAGGGAACCAGTGGGCAGATAAAGGACACATAACCGGATTCCCTACAGCACTGCCAGACTCCCAAGGCCCAGTGGACTTTTCTGTCTCCTTTGCCATCAGGAGGAGTGTTCACACTGAGCATTCCATAAACTGCCTCCAACAGCTCCTGTTCAGCTGCTCAGTGGGTCCAGCTTTCCCAGGCCTGGCCCCTGGGTCAGAGCAGAAACAAGCAGACCTCATGAGGGAAAAGCAGGAAGGAGGGACCTGAGTCCCCGTTCTAGACCCAAGAGGGAGAGAGCTTCCTCTGCAGCCCAATGTGGGAGGAAACCAAGGCAGTCGCGTGCGGACTACCTCCTTTCTGGAAGGTTCCTCCAGCCTAGTCCTTCAGCTTCTATCCACCCCACCTCCCAGACCCCAGCTAAGTGAGAGTGGCTCCACAGCCTGCCCCAGGGAAGCCTCGCTCTGCAGGTAACTCTTCCAGGATCTGGTCTGCCCCAAAGGACCATAGTCCAGTGGTCAGAAGCGAGGGCTCACCAGAAGTTTCCACTTCTGAATAGGAGAAGTAGAGTCCAGGGTGTTGGCTCTGCCCACACTGGGGTGGGGTTGGGTGGGGTCCATTTATTTAATTTAGTCTCAATGCTCAAAGAGAGGGGAGACTTAGATAGTTACCCAGCTGTCACTAAGTGCATCCAAGGGACACCAAATACAGGAAGAACCAGCCTGAAGAAGCGACATTCAGACAGAAGGAGGTGACCAAGGTGCACCGGAAGCTTCCAACCTGTCCTTAATAAGGGGTTTCAGAGGATGTAGCTGTTGTCCCCTGGAAATGAGTTCAGTGACTGGGTCTAGACTCAATCTGCTCGGCTCCTTAAATAGATGTAAATAAAACAAGTGTCAGAGACGTTCCAGATTGGTAACATTCCACTTTGATCAGGAGCCAAAGAGGAGAGAGGACTTCCCTCACTCACCAGGAAATGCCTCCCTCTTCCTCCTTCTTGCTCTTCTTCCTTACCTCTCAAAGAGTGGTGCCACTCCATGCTACCACGGAGCAACAATCGGAGGGGGCTGCATGGAAGTGGTGAATCAACTCACTAGAACTCCCAAAAGGTGTCCTGTCAATGTCTGAATCTTCTTCTAGACTCAGAAATTCTGCTACCCCAAACTGAGGGCTCGTGTCAGTTATTTCCTAAACAAAGGGAACTTGGGCTCCGTGGGTCTGCAATTTCTTACCCAGAGTGCCAGGTGGGACGGGGAGAGCCTGAAAAAATGGTGGTGCTATTGCCTCCTGCCTCCAGACCACGGGCTCCACTGCGGGAGCCATCCACATGGCACCTGATTCCCTCGGCCCTTATTTTTTTTAATGTTTATTTTATTTTTTGAAAGAGAGAATGCGAGCAGGGGAGGGACAGAGAGAGAGGGAGAGGAAGAGAGAATCCCAACCAGGCTCCGCATTGTCAGTGCAGAGCCTGATGCGGGGCTCCAACTCATGAACCGTGAGATCATGACCTGAGCCAAAATCAAGAGTCGGATGCTAAACTGACCGAGCCACCCAGATGCCCCCTCCCCCTGCCCTTCTTAACTGTCACCGCCCTCTGCCTCAGGCACAGCTTTCTCTCCCTGAAAAGACTCATCCAGACACCTGCATCGGGCTGTGGTCTTCGTGCCTAGGGACAACCACCATGCCCCTGTTGTCTGCTTTCCAGCAGAGTCCTGCTGGGTGGCTTTGGGGTCATACAGTTCCGCACCTCACTCAGTTCTTGAGGTGCCCAGCTCTCTGCCTCTGCTGCTCATCCCAAAGGGATTCCTCAGAGTCCGAGGAACGAAGACACCCTGCCCAAGGAGAGGGAGTTCCCAGCGACAGGTGTACCCGATTTTGTCCCTGCAACTTTGACAGAGACCTATCTAAGACTGAAAAAGCAAAGGCAATCACCTGTCACCGCTCAGGGAAGCCAGACGGGGCTCCAGGCTAGGTAAAGCTCTCTCCCCGCGCGGTGCAGGTGCACAGGACAGGGAGAGAACATCCCCACCCTGAGGTTCCTCGCGTGGGTGCAGACAGGGTCAGGCGCGCGCCCGAGAGCGCACCGGGAAGCTATCCGCCGGGTCAGACTTTGGGCGGGTTCCACGCGGCAGACCCACGCTGAACGCGAGCTGCACGCACGCACCGGCACCGGTATCTCGGCCCTCCTAGCCCACCTCGTTTGCAATTCACTCTCAAACACACCCTCAGGCAAAAAAGCTTTCACTGTCCGGTGTAGGACTTGCGCTCCCCCCTGCGGCCCCCGGCAAACCTCGCTCTCCCTGCGCCTCCCGCCCGGACCTCCGCCCCATCCTCTGCCTCCCCAACTTAAAGACTTCGGTGCAATCTAAACTCCCGAGGAGGTGAGAGGTGGAGCCGCAGTACCAGGCCTGAGCCTGTCTGGTGCCCAGGAAAGAGTTTGGCAACAAGACAGATCTGCGTGGATTTGGGGCTGTGCCAACTTTCTGGCTGTGTGGCTTTGGACAAGGGACTTAATTCCTCTGAGCCTGTCTTTGCACCTGCAAAGGAGGGAAACTGATTCTTCCTAGGGAGAGCGCGTGTGTTGAGGTCCAAGCGTGTGTGCAGGGCACCGGGAGCGCCGACGCTTGGCATGCCTGGCACGCACTCGCTGCAAATGGAGTTTCCTGTGCGCGCCGCCTTGCAGCGGCGAGTGCGGCGGGAGAGGGCTGGCGGAGCAGCGGGATCCCTCGGGGGTGGGATGTAGGTGGGGGCAAAGGGGGAGCCCCCGCGCCCCCCTCCCGGACCTCGGCGCGCGTGCCATTGGCCGGGGCGGCCGGGTGGGCGGGAGGATGACATCAGCGGCAGGTTGGATTATAAAGGCGCAAGCGGAGCCGCGGGCTCAGAGCGCACCCAGCCGGCGCCGCGCAGCACTGGGACTCGCGCCCACACCGCAGCCCAGCCAGCCTGCTCCGCGCTCGCCTGCTCCGTCTCCCGCCGGACCCGTGCGCCCTCGCTGCTGCGGCTCTGCGCCCCTCGACCCTGCCGGCACGATGCACCTCTCCCAGCTGCTGGCCTGCGCCCTGCTGCTCACGCTACTCTCGCTCCGGCCCTCTGAAGCCAAGCCCGGGGCGCCGCCGAAGGTGGGTGCTGTTGCATGGACATCGGGACTGTGAGGGACCATGGTGGGGCTGGGGGCCCTAGGAGGATGCGGAGCACTAGAGGGAGCAG